AATTGTTATGGGATAGGTAGGGCAGGGGAGGAGGGGAGGGAGAGGGAAGTGGGATTGACATGTAAAACAATCTTCTTTCTAATGTAAATTTTAAAAATGTAGAAAAAAGTCCCCCCAAAAGAAATCCTGGCACAAAGGAATTATTATACAACTATTAAAAATAGTATTTGAAAGAATACAGATCTCGACTTTCTCGGCAGTTTTTTTTTTTTTAAACTATTTATATCACCTGGCAAGTGGAAGAGTGTAAACTTTATTACCCTCTGCTTAACAATTACTCCATTAAGGTTGAGTTAGACAAGGGGAAATGTCACTGCAATGTGGAAACAGCAAATAAGAAGTAGTTACCTTTTGAATATGTAAATTCTTACCTTTAAGCCCACCCCCTACCTTTCTCGAAAGCAAACAATTATGTTAGGATGTTTGACTATTACTCTGGCAAACTTCTGCACTATTGAAATGATTGTCAACGGTGTTGGAGGACAGTCTTGAAATAAAAACTGTCTCATTATAACTGAAACTTGTCAGGCGAAGACCTTGTCTTGTCACTTTTGTTTGAGGGTTATCCTTGGGGGCATTGGTGTATTCCCCAAAATAATTACATGATTAGCCTGCTGCTAAATACCATCCTCGGGGTGTTTACTTGCTGTTACTCAGGGGTTTGCACAAAGTCCTAAGTGTGGAATGCGAATTCACATCACTGTGCTCACTCAGGAAACAATAGACAGTCAAAACCAACAGATTTCTGCTTAACTTTAATAAGCCAATTGGAAACATTATGCAAAATAATGTCCAGGCCAGAGCTCTACTGAAGGTCTCAGGCCACTGCGCTTCACTCACTGTGGGCAGAGCAGAGCAGACAGTGCGGGCAGGCTTAGCACATGGATTCATGAACTCCTTCACCTGCAGGGAACAAGGCAGGCAGTGGTCTATTGGCTTTCTCAAACAGCTTCAATTTAGCTCACCATTTTGAAATTTTTTTAGCTCTCTTCAACCTGCTGTTATTCCTGCAAAAATGGTAATTCTAGTCTAGAATCTCTTAATGTGCCTTCTGAAAGAACTCTGAATTTTCGAGTTTGGTTTCCATGAAGCCAGCAACTGTATCTCCGGACTTGCAGGTTTTTGGCAATGAAATTTTGCTACTCTTCCAAACAGAGACTAGAATCTCTTTGTCTTCTTCACCAAATCTGGCTTGCCTCCAGATGTGTCATAACCAACAGAAAGAGGTAGGAATGACAATGGGTGTCTTCTGAGACTAGGATTTGGTCCACTCTTGTTGATTTTGGAGACTTCTTGTAAAGCTATCCAGAAACTGCTGCGCTCTGGAGCAGTGGGGCGTGGGGTGGGGGAGGGCAGACCTGGGACATGCATTTCAGGAACAGATAGGTTTAAAAGCAGAGATGATCTACTAAGCCCAGTGTGTCCCCAGGCTATCTGAATGACACCAGTGGCCACAGTAGAGCAACCATGTCAGCACACAGGGTTAAGAAAAACAATAAGTCATCATTTAAAGCTACCAAATACCGGGAATATTGCTTCAACAATGGTTAGTCAAATAGCCTCTAGCAGTATATTGAGCAGCAGTTCAGGAAACAAAGCATTCATTATATAGCTAACAATTTGTTGACTTTATGGTTCATCCTGTCTGGGTTTATTACTCACACTCAGCACAGGATTTTCCTGTGTAACCAGGAGCACAATCACAGTTTCCAGACTTTCCATTGCAATGACCTCCATTTTTACAGAGTCCACAGGAAAACTGGCATTCTGGTCCCCAGAGGCCATCAGCGCAGGCTTGCAAAATAAAACAAAAAGAAAGATGGTTCCAGATTTCACTTCCACTGTTGCCTGAGTTGGCAAATTTTGTGTGTGTGTGTGTGTGTGTGTGTGTGTGTGTGTGTGTGTGTGTGTGTGTTTTGCAAAGAAATTTTCAATAGCGTCTGAAGATTTGTAGCATCTCCAAAAAAGTGTTCCCTGAAGAAATCAATGCTGTGTCTGTCACTTTGGAAACACAGATATAGTAGTTGCCATTTTCTTTTTCATTCTTTTGCTGAAAAAGTGTGTGTGTGTGTGTGTGTGTGTGTGTGTGTGTGTGTGTGTGTGTGGCATTTCTTTTTTTCACGTAGTAACAATGGAAGTCATTTTGCTGTATCTTTGTAAACACTTGAACAGAACAAACATGAAACCCAGGTGGAATTTGTAAAAAGCAGTTCAGAAGGCTGCCTCTAAATGCTAGTGTCATATATACTTTCCTCATCACAGCTTTCTTCTCTAAGCCTAGTCGAGACAGACTAGGTTGTGTTCTTTATGGGTGTACATAGTGTCTAAGGTGGCCAAAGAGAAACTGGTTGCTGTTCTGCTGCATGTCCATTGAACTATTGATGGGAAACTACAAGCAGTAGATACTACTGGCATATGGGCCCTTTAGAGACAGAAAAATCCACGATCCAAACTCCTGCAAGTAGAAATCTGGGCGAAATTATCCTCTGAACAGAGAGAAAACAGTAAAACTTCCTTAAACACTTGACAATAGTAAAAAGTTACATTCCTGGGCTGAGTCTCCGGATAGCAGAATTACTACATTTTCGCAGGTATCTATACCAGATCTGCAGCCATATCTTCATATAATAACATCATATTTCCATAAACATAGCCAATCGCAGCTTTACCTTGTATTAAATGAGGTTTGGATAGGTGATGTGGTGTATCTGATGTCATAAAGCTGTTGGCAGCAAAGTTGAAATTTAATCCTACATCTTTCATTTTTGGGATCCAGGTCTCCCATCACTACATGATGCTGGATCATTCAGAACTTCTCAAGTCATTTATTGTCCTCTGAGAGATCCACTGGGTTTCTGAATTTCAAGTTTGCCTGAATGAAGATTTGATTTTCTTGAAATGACATGGGGATTGCATGGATTTCCTTAAATGGCCTTATGGGGGTCACCGAACCACCAGTTACTCCACATTTAGTAATCTGCCTATATCTGGGGTCCCAAATACGGATACAAACTTTTACTCAGTATACACAGCTTTGAAGTAGTTTGCTTCCTCCATATCACAGGTACTGGAAGAAGACGGCTTTTCTGCTTCTAGAAGCCATTGTTGATAGGGTAAGTGTGGTTGGTGTTGATTGTCCAGGGTGCTGGTCCTGAAACAATCCTATTTTTTTCAAGGAAAACCAAATGTTTTATTTTGTTTATGTTTATAATAATTTGCTGAAACAATCCTTAATTGACTATTCATGTGCAATTTCAACTTAGGCCTGGAGGTAAGATTCTTGAAGATGTGTCTGACCCTGGGAGCACTTGGCCTACTCCAGTGGTTTAGACACAGAGAGAAAAACAACAGGCCTGATTTTCATCTTGCACAACTCTTAAAGAGCTCTTTTTGCCTTAATTTCAGCTGTCAATCATAGTGAGCCCATTCACATGCTTCAGTCTTATTCATAATTTCATTTTGTGGTTAGACAAAACTATCAGAATTGGACAAAGTTATCTGATTGAAAAATAATATGTTTTCTAGAGATTATGGTGACCTCTCTATTTTGCTGATTTACATATACTTTCAACTCATTTTCTTTCACAGTGGGATCTCAGAAGTCTTTTCCAATAAAGTATATTCAGCAGCTGCTTTAAGGAAATGTTGTCAGAATAAATTAAATTTACCCAGGTGGGTGTACATGGTATTACATCCTTGTTCATTGACTTCCAGAACACTACATCTCGGTGGGAACACAAATACAAGACTAACACTAGGCTTCAAATCAGGGCAAAGAGTGGGAGAGAGGCATGAAACCCATTCATGTGTTATATTAAACACATTTGCTGGAGGCAGGACTTCCGTTTCCTCAAGTTCCTTTTCTCATTACTTGGGTAGTCACAATCCAGACACCGAACTAGTCCATTGCGCTTGCTCACATGCTACAGGTTTCTAGTCACAGAACAGCAAGAAAATACTTCGCTAAATCGGAGCATAAGGGATTCTAAGACAAGTTTCAAATCCACTGCCTCTGTGAGTGGACTCAGCACTGTGGTGTCTTCAATCCAAGCCCAGTATCTTCATGTGGTGGCCAATGATATGATGACTTACCACTATTTATGATCATTTGGTTTGTTGTATATGTGCAGTTTTTATGAAAGAGCAAAAAGGTCGTGACATTTTCCCCCAAATAAGAATACCTAGTACTTAATGAAAAATACATAAACAATGAACATGAAGCCACACACATATGTTGATTTAAGAAAAGATTCACTGACTAGTGTCTTTATTGCAGGAGTGAAGAAATACCCGAGGAAACAAAACACAGAGAGCCCACTTGGAACCCAGATTCTAGCAAGAGAACGATCACTCTACAACAGTAATTGGTGAATGGAGTAGATCACAAGATGAGAAATTCTGTAGGGAAACAAAAAGAACTCCAAGGAAAGTTGCAAGGTGCATTTTTAAGAAGTGGCATGAATTTGATGCAGTGACAAAGTGACCAGACACCAAAAACATGAGCATCCAGAGTCTACAAGACAGGGATGGCATTACTGACAGCTTGGGACACCATTTCCCCAGTTTTTGAGTACAACTACACACATATCTATGTGTTATTTATGATTGGAATCATAGCTCACTGTTTATAGATTTGCCTAAAAATTATGCGACATCTATACAGTTGAGAAATGACAGGGTGCACATTTTTAATTCTCTATGTTTAAGGAACTGTTAATAAGTTTATTTGAATGATTGACTTTTAGATGAAAGAGCATGGTCTTTCATTCTGGAAGAGACCATGTACTGGGCTGATGATGAGTCTATGTTATCTAGCTTTAACTGTTTTCAGATATAATTTTAGGTTGTATGATCTTTTTCCTTAGGCTAGAAAGGAACTGCTAACAGCAGTGGCCAAGAAGAGAAGGCTAAATAATTGAATTGTCTCCCTGTCTCAGTTTCCTTACCAGCAATAGGGGATCAACAAAGTTCCTACCTCTGGGGGCACTGGTGTGGATCACCTCATTAATGACCAATGCTGAACAATGGCTGATCATTTACAATTAGAGAAGCACAAAAATCCATCATTGGATTGTACCTTCCTGGCACCTGTTGCCTTGGTAACCAGATTTGCAGGTGCAACTACCGTTTTTGGCACTGCAATCCAGGGTGTTCTCCTCCACACACTGACATTCCAAAGAACAGCCAGCTCCATAGGTCCCCCTGGGACAACCTGCAAGCAGAGTGAAGCAGACTGGTCACCTGAAAACAGTGCTTTGTTTATTTGAAATTGTTAGTGCATAGGCATGACATTCTTTGGGGCCTGATTATAAGGAAAATAAGGGGATCATCATGGCTGCCAAAAAATGAGGCAACAAATGTCTTTCAAATCAGGCAATTCATTTGCTTTTTGGCAACTGGACATGAACAGTGAAGGCTGAATTACTTAAAAGGCTGCAATGATGCTGGGAGAGAGATTGCTTCTCAAACATGCTCTATTGCTGCCTGGACTTAATATTCTCCAAGGACTGCTTCGGCTGCCAGGCCCCTCATCATCCAGCTGAAGCCTAGAGATGATGGACAAGCACTTATGTGAAGGTTGGCCATTGTCCTTACTCCCCCTCATTATATGGTAATCAGAAATAATTTTACATCTCACAGATTACACAAAGCTTCCATTGTGACAGCGATATTATCTTGACCACTTCTGTGGGAAGTGCTGCTTGCCCTGTCTTCTTTATTTTCCCCAGGCCATTGAGTTTTAGAGATGATGCAATCAGTACTGAAATTCTAACTTGAAAACATCTTGCCCTTGTGTTTAGGACATCATACAATAGTTCATGCATTCTCCCTCTTCCTCTTTCCTACTCTACTGAGTTCTTAGAACAGCTCAATTCTCTTTCTAAAGCATATCTCCAACAATTATTTTCTTTCCCAGTTAACAATGTTCAAGATATTTCTCAAATGAAATGTGCTTTAAGGTGTTCCTTGGCTCAAAGTCATTGTTTGGTGAGCCCTGACAGGCTTTGCTGTGGAATGCTGCCTGCAGAAAATACAATGAGTTGTGCTGCTTCCTGGGGGACCAGAAGTTCATTCTATGTGTCGGTTATGATGGCTGAAAACAAATCCCAACTCTGGTTACCAGGAACAATGGGAATAATCTTTAAAGCCAGACAATCAAAAGGGCCTGTAGACACTTTAATAATGGTTTTGGTTCCTTTATTTACCTAAGAGTTATCTTTTCTCATGACCCATAATCAGTTTACTATGATGTGATGCCTTCACTTGGTCTCTTACTGCTTGTTCACAATTTACTATGTTTTTTTTCCAGGGTCGTTCCTTCTCTTAAGTATGCAAGTACTATGGGAATTCAATTAAAGATAAATTATAAACTGTAGAAGACATGGTAACTTGATAACAGCAGTGTGAATGGTACTATCCTCCTAAAATGGTTACATTGAAATATTAATCCCCTTGGGCAACGCTGCTTGGAGGTGGGACTTTAGGAAATTTATTAGCTAGGAGGTAGAGTTTTATGTGTGAGATTAGTGCTTTAGTAATGAAGTCTAAGGGTATACATTGCCAATAGGAGGATGCAGTGCCAGGAACTATCTAGGAACCCCAAAGTCACCTATCATAAGGGAACAGATTCTAGAATTAAATACATTTTTAATAACCTACCCATTTTATGGTATTCTGTTATAGCAGGCAAACCAGACCAAGACACCAATGTTCATTAGAAGGAATCTGCAGAGGACCCACTTGCTCAGTAGCAAGATAAGAGAGGGACAGGAGGACAAGGAGTGGGAAGGGCTGAGGTCACTTCAGGGAGGTCTGCAGTCATTTCCAGCTCACAGATCTTATTTTCATGGTTACAGGAGGGCCCATCAGTGTTACTCCAGGGAGAAACTGTGGAAGCTACCGCTGGGTTTACAGACTCAGATATTTGGGGCATCTTTTCAAAAATGTGCATGGTCAGAATGCAAGCAGAAGAGCTATTCTGAATTCAAAGTGTTCTGTATCAGACACAGAGACATGGTCTAGGCCCCTCACAATCAGCTCCTATAGAGTGACAGGTATTTACTTAAATAAACTCCAACAATCTTTGCTTGATAACTAATACAAACATGATATAGAAAAAATTTAAAATTTGGAAATATTTCTCTTCATCAAAATCTAGATTCTGTAATGTAATGTAAAAAGCCCAAAGAACATAATAAAATCTTTGTCTCTATGAGTAGATGAACTACCTTTGTCCTATCTGTTCCCACACTATTCTAAGCCACTGTGCTTCACACAGGGAGAAATCACGGCTGTGACTTACTGAGATGACAGAATCTTCCATAGCGCCCTAGGTCACATATGCAGGCACCATACACCCTGTGGCAATGGCCATCTTTGGCACAGTGACATTTTCTTTTGCAGTCCTTCCCAAAGAATCCTTTCAGGCATCCTGCAGGGTATGCAAAAGAAGTAAGTATTAATTCACATGCAGAAATTGCTACAGCATTTGTTTATAAAATACAAATTCTGAGTATCCACCCTATCTGAGTTGCTGTAGACAGCTGATGGGTTGAGGAGAATACAGTCAGTCCCCTTTAGGGGGTTGGCCAATGGTAGGTTGTTCATGCCCCAGAAGATGACCATACACTCATGCACATGTGGGCAACATTAAATGTATCCATAGTAAAACATGAAGTTGACAAGAAGGGAGGGCAGGATGCACTAGGAAGAGTTGGGCTGAGTTAGTTGTGGGTAGATATGATCAATATATATTGTATAAATATATGAAAATTTAAATTAAATCTTTTTAATAGTATGTTGAGTTGAGAATTTCTTACAGTGTATTTTGATCACATTCACACTGTCTCTTGCTACTCTTCCCAAATCCACCCCACTTCCATTTATACCCAACTTTGTATCCTCCTCTTTCTTTCTTTTAAATACATCAACTCTACTTTGTGATGCTCATGGATTCTTGGATGTGGGATCTTCCACTGGATTGTGGTAGACCTACTAGGGGCCATACTCTTAAAGAAAAAGATTCTCCCAGCAATTATCTTTGTCAATAGCTCCTCAGCCAGGAGTGGGATTTCATGACTACTTCCTCTTTCCATGCTGGGATTAAATGTGGCTTGAGCTTGGGCAGGCCTTACACATGCTGTCTCAATTGCTATGAGTTCATGTGTGCTGTCCAAGTGTGAGACAATAACTCAGCTGGTGAAGTGTTTGGGGTACAAATAAGGACTTGAGTTCATTGACCAGAAGCAGATTATTGTACATTTGAAGCTAACCTGGTTTACGTAATGAACTCCAGGCCAGCTAGGTCTAAATAGTAAGACCCTTTCTAAAATCAAACCAAAACAAAAACCAAGGTAAGTAGCATCCTCATCTCGAGGAATGGCACTGGAGATCCAGTGTCCATACACACCTGCCCAATGGCACAATGTGTATCTGCAATACACACAGGCACACACATACACACAGGGGCAATGTTGTCATGCTGGTTACATGGAGAGTAATGAGTGGTGTTTTAATGATTCTGCATTCTCTGCTTGAAATCCTGCTGTGACTTGTCAACACTACAAACTAAAAGCTCCATACTGAGCCCCTGAGCCACTGCACCAGCACAATTCCTGCTGCACTGCCAGCTCCCCACCCATCTTTTTTGCTGCTGTCTCTGAGTTCCTTGGCACACCTCACGGTTTCCCACCTTGCTCAGGAATACCCTTCCCTCATGCTGGCTGCCTCACCTCATCTCTCTTCTTTTACTACTCTATGAGTCTCTCCTTGTCATATTCTGACTTATACCATGGCCTTACTTCCAACCATGCACCAGTATTTAATTTGCAACACCTATCAACCTTTGTAATCCATGTTTGTCAAACCAGTAAACCAGGTCACAACTTCCATTGGCAGGACCAGGTATTTTGTTTGTTTGTTTGTTTTCAGTAACAAGGTCATCATTCCTGGCAGAGCTCATTGCAACCATTGTAATTTTTTAAAAACATAAAGAAATATTTCTCACAGGGAAAGGAAGTTGGATGGCCCTCAGGAAGGTAAATTTGATTTCCATGTTCCCATGGGATGTGGGAATCTAATGAACTTTCCAAAGAATTCTAGAAAACTCTTGGGTAATAACATTTTAGTTACCTTTCTGCCTTCAGCAACTGAACTTTGTTAAACCAATGGAGGAAATGTGTCCTTTTCATTAGTTTCCATGAAGAATCTATGCACAGTTGTCACTGGCATTTTGTGAACTCTCCACCAGTAATCTCTCTTCTCCTGCTCTCTTGTTCCCTCTCTTGCTCTCTAATTTCATCCCCCTCCTACTTTTGCCATGTGGGCCTTACCCTTCTCTTTTTTGTTCTGCAGAAAAAATAAAGTCTCCCCAGGTCCTCCTTATGGACCCACATCCACAAACCCAACTTTTTCTTGAGAAGAAAACAAAATTATTTTCTTGTATCAGGATTCATCCTGCTTGCATCACAGTCAGCCAAGTTTCTTAGTTCCTGTTCTATTGCTGTGAAGAGACACCATGACCAAAGCAACTATAAAATAAAAATTTAACTGGGGTTTGCTTACAGTTTCAGAGGGTAAGTTCATGACCATTATGGCTGGGATCATGGTGGTAGGCCAGCAGACATAGTACTGTAGCAGTAGCTGAAAGCTTACATCTTATCCTCAAGATGAAGGCAAAGGGAGGGTGATACCGGACCAGGCATGGACTTTTGAAACCTCAAACTCCACCACCATGCCTCCTCCAACAAAGCTATACCTCCTAATCCTTTCTAAATAGTCCATCAACTAGGGAGCAAGCATTCAAATTTATGAGTCTATGGGGTTCATTCTCTTTCAAACCACCACAGCATCTATCTCTTATTTTGTTCTGTTATGCTTGCCATGGCCAAAGCAACTACATTCTTGTCCATATAGATACAGCCTTTGAAGTCTTCATTTCCATTCAAACACCTATACCACTCCCACCCCCAAATTAGCAGTGGCTCATCTTACTGACAAGGCATTCTTACCTTCTTCACAAATTTTCCCATAAACCCCTGGGGGGCATTGGCACTGCCCAGTGTGAGGATCACAGGTGCCTCCATTCTGACAATTGCAGATGCCCCTGCACTCCCTTCTTTTGGCATCTGTGGAACAAGCTGTGAGTAAATCAGGAAAGGTGAGTGTTGATGGAGCATCCTGTCCATCACAACTGAGGCCAGGAGGAGAGGTCAGAAGGAGAGGTGGTTTTTCTATCTGGATGGCTACCAAGTAATTAAATTCTTAGTACCATTCAGACCCAGGGTAAACTCTGGCCTTGTCCCAGTTCCTCTGATTTAATCACCCCAGGGGAATTTCAGATGATACAGCTGGTTAAAATAATGATGACTTAAGGAAATGTTAACAAGGTTCAAATGCAAAACTGACCTCACTCCTTAAACTCTAACCCTCCTGGTTTCAACACTACCCAGACACATTTGCTGAATAACTCTAACCAACCTTAATGAGAAACAAACTGCATCTTTCACTCTGAAAAATGTGGAGAAAATTCAGAGAAAAATGTCATATTTTAAAACCATCAGGAATGCAGCTACAGTTCTCTTAGGGGCTCCCAAGGTATTTTGGAGTCTCCGAATTTGAAGGAATTAAGCAGATGACAAAATTCTCTGGTCTGTTGGTTCTTTTAGAAGTACCAGGTATTTAGAAATGTACAATGAAGAAATTGTGACATTCTGTAATGTGAATACATTAACTCTTGAGGTAATTTATTAGCTATTTTAGTTGCTATTTTACCATAAAATTTATTCTAAAGCTACATTTAGGATGTCTCCTGCAGTATCCTCCTACCATTATATAAAACTGTTTCATATTTATGTTTTACTTTTTGATATGTTTATTGCTTTTTCTTTCCTCTCCTTCTTTTCCTCCCTTCTCTTTTTCATTGAGACAAGGTCTAATGTATGCCAGATTGACCTTAAACTCAAAATGGCTTTAAACTTCTAATCCCCCTTCCTCTACCTTTTAAGTGCTGAGATTATAGGCATGATTCAATAGCTTTGGTTTATGCAATGTTAGTATTTGAACTCCCAGCCTTTTACATGCCAGGTAAGTACACTATCAACAGGGCTTACCCATTTTTTTTTACTTTCAAACCATAGGCTACTATAAAAGGGTGAGTAGGAGAGGAAAGGGGGAGTAAACCTAAAAAATAATAAAGAAATTAAGGATGAAAAATTGTCAAGTCTTATGTTGTTAATTTATATGTAATATAACTTTGGATTGTTCCAGCATATTTATAAGGGACAGTTTTTAAAAATGAAGATAAAGAATTCTAAGTGGCTTCCATGGTAACTGGGTTATGGTACATCATTTAAACAACTGATAAGTGGGATTCTCTGGCCCCATCCCACAAAGTAGAATATAAGCAATACAGGGATTTCCCAGATATATTATTAACAAAATGTAAAATAAAGATCTTAGAGGAGAAATTGTTAGCAGGAGCACATCCTAACATGGAACTAGAACACTTGGAAGGAATCACAAGCTCTTCTGTCCATGGAATATTCCATGCCTGTGGGAACCACTTCTCTTTCCTCTCCACTAGATAATCAAACAATGCTCAGTGATTTCAACATGGGATTTCTGTAAATGAGATGTGCTTCTGAAAAACCCTGCTATTAAATAATACACAGTAATACTTATTGAATTTTCTTATAATTTTTGAACAAATTGCTGAGAAGTCTAAGTAGGTATTTTCATAGTAGACCAAAAAAGATACTAAGACAGTCATCTACTCAGTGGGGATGGTTAGGATCAGGGTTAGCATAATCTCTGTTTGAAGCCTCACTTTTCTGATTTCTACTCTATTTCATTATTGATTTCCTGAGTTGCATTTTAAAATGCAGATCATCTTTAAGATATATAATTTCATGGATTTTAAACAATATCACCACTCCCTTCTTACTGAATAGTTAGTTGAAAACTTTGAGTTGATTTGGATTTATCTGTCTTCATTCTTAGTCTTCACTTTGTGAGACAGATTCTTCCAGAAAGAGTCTCATGAACATTCAGGACATCTGCAAGATTTTCCAGGTAGGAAGACATGGACATCTTGTCTTTTTAATCACCTGGCTCACTTTAATCTCTCAGGGTGAGATTTTATCAGTGATGTTTTCTCTGAAGCTTCAGAAGTAGATTATGTAGTTTTATTTCTCATGTTATCATGTCAAAGACCATGTGTTCAAGCCACACAAGTATATCAATGGACTTGCATGATAAAGCTAATATTTATACTGTAATAATCATATGGCGACATTATATATATTTTGTACTATGGAGTATGTGATCTTATGGGTCTATATAATTGAGGGTCTCCACCAAGTTTTGTTCTGTCTATACTGATGTGGTTGGCACTCCAATATAAATAGGAATGAATTGTACCTGACCAAGGGGAACACTCTCCAAGAAAGAATATTAATATAGTCTGAGAGAGAATGCTTCACATCTATACAGTCTAAGAGAGAGTGATTCACATCTACTAGAAAGACCAGTGCTTGCAGAGGATATCATATGAAGCTTTACATGATAGGCGAAAACAGATCTTCAGAGATCTTGGTGGAACAACAGCCACAGAACTAAAAAGTGCACAATATGAAGTATAACAGTCAATTAAATTCCTAGAAATAGTCAATTTGGCAAAGACCATGAAAAAGATTACAAAAAAGAGGAATGTATGAGAACCTAATTCTGAATTGTTCCACGTGACCAAGTATGTATATTATGTACAGACATTGGGGTGTTATGAAGGCTGAGAGAAGCAAGGAACATGATTACAGGGGTTCTTGGGGACAGCCTGAATATCTAAAGGAGTCATGCTGGCCAAAAGATGTCACTATGTCAGGACTTGGGTCCTGTGCCTATGACAGGCATTAGAATACATCTCTGCTCTTTTAAACTTGCATGCAGGGAGCTACAAGGAAATATCCTGCTTGACCATCTTTAGAATATCACGAAGACACATATTTTGAAGTACATGAGAAAGAGAAAAAGAGAAAAAAATTCTATGTATTTTATTTTATCACGTGGAAGTTTCAACTCTTAAAAATCTGTCTTCATTTAAAACACAAATGAAATGATATTTGGATGGCATCATATTTAAATTTTTGATAGTTTCTCTTGAGAGATTTATATAAAAAGATGAAACTATCACCATTGGCTATGTTAATGTGATTTTTAAAAGGGAGAGGTAAAAAAGAAAACAGAAGCAAGCCCAGTTAAAAATTTTTCAGTTTTGTAAAATTTAAGCGGATTCACTGTACTTTGTAAGCCAAATGTTCCTGGCTTTTCCAATGGGGATAGCGGGCCGGGTGCTGGTGATTTATTTGAGTGCAGGGTTTTTATAAGACCGACCTTATTAGGAGCTTTATTAATTTCTATGTTCTGTGGGTTAGCAGGATTTGGAGCATTACCTTCTCTTGAGAATATTGAATCTTTCCTTTCTGTGATATATTCAATTTACAAATGCCAGCATTCACCATCAGTTTATTTACAACAAATATATTGCTTTCTCTCAGTGGATCAGTATATTTTAGGGTGCTTTTGTTGAGAACTCACCCAAAGGAGCTTGCTGATCCATACCAGTTCTTTGGGTGTTGCTTTCGTTGCAAAGAATGCCATTCCAGCCTTCTGGGCAGACACACCCGCTCTCTCCTTCTTGGCATCTACCTCCATTCATGCAGTCCTCACAGCTCAAGCTGCAGTCCGGGCCAAAGGTGCCATCTAAACAGACTGTATGGGAAACCAGCTTAGTTGGCTTCAAGCTACATATGTAACCAAAAATAAAGCAAAATTCTTAATTCCCCAAAGAAAATCAGATCAGTCATCTTCCCCCCCAGCCCCCCCCCCAAAAAAAAGAAAATGAAAAGAAAAAAAAAACAGAAAAGGTCCTTAGCAAAGAGATTGCTCTCAACATATTTTACTTTGGACAGTTATAATGTTAGATTATTTTCCATTCCTTTAAGGGCTATAGGGAAGAAACATAAATGAGGCCTATGACTGACTCTAGACACAGAAGGGGCAGATAGTCCAGGCTTGTTGTCCTTTCCTTTCTAGACTTTTTATGCATATGTTTTAAAGTAGTTTTTTATTGAAACTTAACTATCATGTGTAATGATGCACAAATCTCTAATATACCCAACAGATTCTTACAAACTCAGATTAGGGTATAGCGCCTTACCTGTCACCTAAAATGTCAATTCAATTCGGCTCAAAAATACAAAGACACCACACATTTTTCTGAACTTTTTTACAAATAGAATTGTAAAGTAAGCACGTTACAGTCAGGTTTCTTTTGTCAGTACAAGATTTGTAGTATTCTTCCATACTGTGTGCACAAATCTCTTTAATGTGTGTATAATATTCTATTTCTTACTGAAATGCAATCTATTCACTTCTTCCTTTTCCTCTTGATGCAGATTATCCTAATATGAGAAAGAACAGAGGTATCATTTACTGAGTTGCTTACACATGGGGATGGACTCATGTCCTCTCCTCATCTTGGTGTGGGGAGATGGGTGGATGTGGGGCCTTGGACTGTATGCAGTGCTGATTTCTACTTTGTGCATGTCCATCGCAACTGTGCTACTGAGCACACTGCACCTACATCACTTTCTTACCAGCTGACTGTGGGATTGCCTGACACCTCTCATGACTGGCAAATGATTGAAGGGAAGACAGCTGAGATGTAATTGGATTTCTCTTTCCAAACCTTGGTCAAATAATTTAGTTGGTCTATGTTTATTTTTCTCAACTATACTTATTCTGATGTGGAATGCACAAAACAGCAGAAATTTAATAAACATTTCAATATTCTACCTCTATGCTGAAGCATTTATAGATTATAAATGAACTATAATACAAATATATTACTGCTTGTTTCTCTTTTGTTTTTATTTATTTATTTTTTTGTTTAGGTGAATGTGTATATGAGTGCACATGTATGGCACAGGTGGTAAGGTCAGGGAACAACTGCTGACCTTTTTCCATTACGTGGGTCACCTTTGCATACCAAGTGGGTCCTAGATATTGAAATCAGAAGGTTATTCATAGTAACAGGTCCTTTATTCACTGAACCATCAACATATTCCTTCACCCCATACTCCCATTTCTACAAACACTTGCATTATTATCTCTTTATTATATCAAAATGGAAGTCTAGGGATGTTAAATTTATAGGAATGAGGTTTGCATAAGTAATGGTTTTGGTCCCATAATTCTACTAGTTCTCCTCTCTCAACATTTGATGACGTTAAATATTGATAATGAAATTACCTGAATAACATGCCTGAGTTATCTGATGATGAGGAGCAATGAACAAGGAAACAAATCCTTTACCCACCCACTCTCTGCAAGGCTGTCAGCCCTTGGAACTCTCCCTCTGCTTCCTGGTCTTCTTCATCATTGTTTTCATCTTCATATGAAGCAGTCAGAGAAGGAGCATAATAAGGTAGCGGCTGAGGGGAGCTTTGAACCAGAAGGCCTGGGAACCTCAGGATGTCTAGTACCTCTTCTTCCTCCTCAAACTGCTCATCATCTAAAGCTCAGAGCAGAGAGAAAGAGACTGGTTTTTGACACTGTGAATAGAAAGAGGGAAAAGCAACCAAACATTGACAGATAGTTGAGAGTCTGAACTAGACAGCCAAGCAGGGGTGACTGATGGATAAAGAGCTCTGAGCAGGCTCTGCAGAGGCCCATTGGACCAGCAGCCAGATGCTGCTGGCATGGGGTTGAATTACTGTAGACAGAGTACAAGGGAAATAAAACTAGATAGGAAGAGGAGGAGGTAAAATGAGGATGGAGGGAGACAGGAAGAAGGGAAGGAATAGGAGAGAGGGAAAGAGAAGAAGGAATGAAAAAAGGTAGGAAAGAGGGAAAGAGAGGGAGAGAGGGTAGAAGGTAGAGAGTGAGAGACAGACACCTTTAGGAGGGAAGCAGTGAGTGTTGTGAAGTGTCTCTCCCCAGCACCCTGAAGAGCAGCAAGTGGAGGGAATTTAGGAGACACAGAACAATCCCTTGGCTACTGACAGAGACAGGTTCTTCCATCACTTCCAATTCTGTATCCTTCTTCGCAGGCACAGTCATATGTCCCCACTGAGTTGATGCACAGCTGGCCACAGTCCACACTGACATCCAGGCACTCATCCACATCTAGGGAGAGTAGAGTTAACCAGAATCTGCCCTTTTTGCCACTATGTGACCTTCATTAACCACCAGTAGCATCCTGCCACATAGAAAGCAAGCATAGCCCCTCAATATCAGGTATTGCCTACCTAGTGACTTGCTACATTCATTTGCAAGTTTACTGAAGACTGGCCACATAAACGAGAGATTTCTGAGGACTTCTTTGTATAGCTTGGATGAAGAACATAAAGCTTAAATTCAATGGATCTAAGCTGTGCAGAAATGTACTAAGTTCTCAGCTTAAGTATGTGAGTGGACACTGATGTTTTGCCTAAATCCATTCAGGATTTATGGAGATCTTTGGTCATGGAAACATAATAACTAGTCTGTCCTCTTTTTTTTCTTTTTAAAATTTAAATTAGAAACAAGCTTGTTTTACATCTTGTAGCTATCAGATTTATGATTGAATCCGACTTTATATTCAGTCAGTGTGCTAGATACACCGAAAGTTCCAGAGTGAAGTCACACTTCAACTTTAACTCAGATGGTGCACATCTTATCCCTGTGGGTACACACAAGTGTGTGCATTTGTGCCATGCAATCATATCTTGGCTCACTCCTCTTAGGAGCAGATGGTGCATAAAATGCAGCTTTTGTTGGCTCTGTTAATTGGATGGAAATGGTAAATGGTAATATACTCTGCTGTGTTTAGTGTATATAGATAGCACACTGTTTCTCTTTGATCTATACTGAAGGGCTGGCTTGTAGTAGTTTGAAGCCTGGCTACCATCAGAATTCAGGATTTGTTTCTTTCAGCAATGAAACTCCACTTTCTCTGAGACATTAATGTCATACATATATTTGACTTGATACTGGAGTAGATAGTAATATTATAAACTTTGTATAGATTTCAAGCAAATGTATTTTAAATAATAATAATAATAATAATTGCAAAATGAAAAAACTCAACTATATATTTAAATTAATTTTGTTTTAAATTATTTTTAAGTAAACATGCAAAGCAGTGTATTATACCACATCATGTTTATACAATTATGCCACTCAATTTTATTCTCCTTCTTACCTTCCACATTGCCCTATCCTACCCTTTGTCCTACTTTTAGTCCTCTCCTCCCCTATAATCTGTCCTTCTATGTTTATTCCATCACACACTCTACCCCTGGCCACCTATTATCTGTCCCTTCTCCCTTTCTGTTTCCTTTCTACTTTCATGGCACAAACAAATTTAAGTTCTGATTATGAACATGAAAGCAAATGTGGTAATTGTCTTTGTGGTTCTGGTTTATCTCACTTACTATAAATGACCCCTAGTTCTATACACTTTTCTAAAAATGGCTTGATTTCCTCTTTCTTGGGATGGACAAAAATTTTTGTATATATATACCACATATTCTGTATTCATTCTTCTGCTAAGGGACATCTAGGCTGGTTCTATGTCTTGGTTATTGTGACTAGTACAGCAATAATTATGGATGTGTGGCATGTTGACCTCACCCTTCCATTTTTTACAGAGTGGTGGGGCTGTGTTATATGGCAGTTCTAATTCCAGAGTTTTGAGGATCCTCCTTTATGACTTCTACAAGGGCTATACAAGTTTGCCTTCTCACCAGCAATGCATGAGATTTCCTCTTTCCCTATGTCCTCTCTACTATATTTAGTGACAACCACATGACTTAGATGAAATAGAAGTTCAATGTGCATTTCCTTGGTGGCTAAGCATGTTGAACACTTTTTCAAATATTTATGCCATTTGTTTTCCTTCTTTTGAGAACTAATAAACTATTATGCTCATTGATCTATTTACCAATGGATATGTTCGTTTTTTAATTTGCATATATTTATATATTGTAGCTATTAATTCACTCTGTGATGTGTGGATGGCAAAGAAAGTTTTCTGCTCTTTAAGCTGTCTCTTCATTCTGGTGGTTGTTTCTTTTGCTGTGGAGAAGTATTTTTAGTTCCTTGTAATCTAATTTATAAATTATTGGGATTTTTTTCTATTGGTACTGGAGCCCACTGAAGAAATTTCTTTCTTATGCCTCTATTTCAAAGTGTTTTAGTCATTGTTTTCTCATAGCAGTTCCAATCTTCATGTGTCTCATTAAGATCTTTGGTCCATTTTGGATTGATTTATATACAGGTGGATATCCAATTTTCAAAGCATTGGTCGAAGGGGCCCTCCCCCAACTCCTGTAACCTTGGTGCTGGTTGGTACAGACAGCTGTGACCTGGGAGCTCACTTGCCAATCTGTCCAGCAGAAATGGTGAACTCCAGTCCAGTGAGAGACCCTATCTCAAATACATGTTGGAGAAGCTCTTGGGAGAGACACCAACATCAATCTCTAGTCTCCACATGTACCCATATGAGTGACTGCATCCACATACTTGCACATACTGCACACACACACACACACACACACACACACAGAGAGAGAGAGAGAGAGAGAGAGAGAGAGAGAGAGAGAGAGAGAATACATTCTAAATCTCCAGATTCCAGATATTTATATGGTTTCTGAAGATACTTTCAATTAGGAAAGCAAAAGAATGAATGAATTTCCTAAGAAGAGTAGATCCCCAAAAGATAGCTAGGAAGGAATCTATTATGTTCATCACAGTAAGCAGAAAACTTCTAATGGTAATAGAGGGGGGGAAAATAATCCAACTAACAACAAATCAAACAATAATTGGTAGCATCTCTAATAATAAATTTAAATGCAAATGGCTTCAACTAAAAAAAGAAGATGCAGAACGGTTGACTGTATTAAGCTCAAACTCTCTGTTTTTCCGCCAAGAAATATGCCTGCTGTACAACAGTTTCCTCCAAGATTGAAACATTCCATCCAACAGGGAAGCTACTTAAGCAAGAAGGTAAACAACCCAAAATAGCTTCAGGAAGTCCCTGAAATGGACCAGATTCACTAGGCCCCTCCCTGCCAAAGTAAGCAATAAAAACTGAGAGTCCCTCTCAGAGGAGTGGAGCTGAACTTTGGAAAAGACTGTACCCAGAAGAAGCTGCCTAAAAGAGGTTTAGCCACACTCACTTGGAAAGGACAGTCTCTAATCTGTTGAGCTTCCAGCAGGCTGTGCATTGTGCTCCTGGTTTCTTAGCTTTTATGAGCTGTCACCATGTTGAGGTGGGTTTTGATGATGCAGCTGTGTTTGACTCATTCCTGCTCCTGTATAAACCCTTACCCATATACCTGCATGTAACCCCAATAAAACTCATGGTTCACAAAGTTTGACTTTGGTGGCCTCTGTACTTTGGTCTGTCATGTTCTCCTTAGCTGGGATGAGTAGATGTGTGTGTAGTATCTCCCCAGGAAAAGTTTTGTCACATAACACCACCTTACTGGCATAGACACAGGCTAAGAATCTAAGGATAGAATTCAATTTATGAAAAAATGAAAGCAGGAACAAGTTTGCATAGCTATTCTGAGATGAGCTCTGATAAAAATAGACTTCAAACTAACTTTAATCAAATAGATAAAGGTCACTACATATTAATAAGAGAACAATTCAGCAAGAAAATATAATAATTATAAATATGTATGCACCAAGCATTGCAGCTCCCAGTGTCATAAAACAAACACTAGTAGGAATTTAAAACTTACTTAAGTCCTGAAACAGTGACACTATTTGACTTTAGTATACTGATCATATCTTTAGATAGGTTAGCCAAACTAAAGATGGACAGAGAATCTTCACAGTTAAACTATAATGTGAGTTGAATGAAATTAACAGAAAATTCCATTCGGCAGATATGGAATAAAAATTCTGAGTAGCCCATAGAACTTCTCCAAAATAGGTCACAGTCTATGCCACAAAGTAATTCTTAACAAATACAAAATAACTAAATAAATCATGCCCTACCATATCACAGTTGAATAAAACTAGAGACCAATAGCAAGAGAAACTATCAGTAGATAGTACACAAATATTTGGAGACAATAACAGTACGCTGTGACTTTTTGAAGGAAACCATAGGATGATGGAAGGATATACAGGAACCACCGCCTGTTCTCTCTAGTGCTCTATCTCTCTCTCTCTCTCTCTCTCTCTCTCTCTCTCTGTGTGTGTGTGTATGGTATACATGAATATATGTGTCCACATCTGTGTGTGTTTATGTGCACGAAGGCTGAGAGTCAGCATCAGTGTTTTCCTCAATCACTGGCCACCTTATGGCTTTTCACAAGGGCTTTTACTGAACCTTATCAGTCAAGCTGGGTGGAGTTTGTGACCAAACCTCACAGATAAGTGTCCTTCAGTTTTTTATGTGGATGCTGGGGCACTATTTTCAGATTTACCTTTACTAAAAAGTAAATGCCCGGAGAGCACCTAAAAAACTGTAAGATGGCTCGTTAATATTAGCTATATGAGGAATTCTGCTGCAGACTTTCACTTACAACAAGATAATTGTTTAATTTTCTTGTCTTGAAAATGATTTTCAGCAACCAACTCTATAATTGTGGTTCAGTATGCAAAGATGATTCCATTATCAGTATGTGGCCCACCCCCAAGTACCCCCTCTTCATACATACATTTGAAAGCATATGGACCAATGAACATCATACTAACCATGGCTGCCTTTAGTGGAGTGCTTGTCTAGTCCAAATATCAGGTTAGTAGTTTACCATTATTATAAATGTCCCTTAATTTACTCCCTAACCCCATTGCTGTCCTCATTTCACTGATAAAGATCTCAGGTTTTTCAAAGTTAGAGCCACCAAAGTACATATGCTGTCACATGGTGCAAACACACAGAAACTCACATTTCTTTAGTGTGAAAGACACCCAGTTCCAAGCTCCTGCCCCCATCAGTCATTCCATGAGAGCTCAAGAATTTACCATCACATCCACAGCCATCCAAACTGATCTGAAAGCCTTCCTGACAGCCGCATTCGTAGCCTCCTGAATAGTTGATGCAGAGCTGGGCACAGCAGGCATCTCCACTCTCACATTCATCAAAGTCTGAAGGGCAAAGGACATTTGTGTTACTCCAGGAAACAGAATTCAATGAAATTGCAGAAGCTCTGAGAGGCCTCGTTTCTAAATTAAAACTGATTAACCATTTCCCACTTCTCAGGCCACATAGTACAGAAATTGAAGAAACTATCACACAAAAATAATGACACCTACTTTTAGTTTAAGTTTCCTGCAAGCTGCTTGCATATCTGTTATTTAATTGAAAAGATGTAAATAGTTTTTAAATGCACTTATAAGCATAGGGAAAAAAATCTTTGCTATTTTTTTTCCAGTTTGAGAAGCAATCTGATTGAATAAACAGAACTTGAGGGAAAAAGAGACAGAATTGAAAATGACAATCCAAAGAATTCCATGAAAGTGGTGTTTGATAGCAGCAGAAAACACAGCCCCAGACTTCACAGTGTGCCGCCTCTTGGAGACCTTAGATCAAAGAGTCTTCCCAAGTAAACATTCCCCTGGCATTCCACTAGGGAGAGGAGTGGGAATAGTATGTCTGTGGGAAGGAGGCACCCTTATTTCTCATATTCTGTATTAAGGTCTGGAGTATTCCAGAGTATTCGCTTAAATATGCTGATGACACATTGCTCGGGTGAGCAAGGTCTGCAGGGTTTTGTTAGGCTGTGAAATCATTCCCCTGGAATGTTCTGTCAGGTGAGCAGTTGTTTATATACCACTGTCATTCTAGAATCCTACATTCTCGAATGCTGTTCTTAAGACACAGCTGGCCTGGGAAAATCAGAAAGCTTCTCAGTTGTCAATGAAACCATTCAGCCCAACAGCAATCTACTTGGCCTGAGTTTTAAAGGGTCATTTGAAGTGTAAGAGTGGAAGGGGGCAGTGGGCACTCACTGCTTCCCTCCACTCCAGGCAAACCAGGATTACATGATGAAGGTGTTTGTTGCCTTTCTGCCCTTGGCTCAATTCTAGCCTCTGTGTGTTGAGCTGTTAGGCTGCATGGCTGTCACTGCTGAGCTTACAGAATCTTATTGCTCCAGGACTACAAGAGCGACCACAGGTACAAAGAGGTCAGAGTCTCAATTAACCTTGGGAGAGTCAGTAGACTCAAGGAAATGAAGACAAGAGACAGGAAGGAAAGGAAATGCAATCAGTCAGTCAAGGTGAGGGGTCACCATAAACTATCTAAATGAAGGTCATCTGGGCACAATGCATTCTTTCTCCTGCAAAATGTCACAAGGAACCCCACTCAGAAGATGACAGATATTAGTTTCTGTCATATTAAGCCTTTCTCTGCCCTTTAGATTAAACATGGTGAGCACAAATGATTTTTAAAAAGATTTTTATTTCATTTAAAAGTTGTCTTTGTGTTTTTTTAATATTTAGATATTTTTCTTTTCTTTTTGATTTAAAAAGAGCCTTCTTACTCATAAATCCTCCAAACATACAGCTTTCAGCTAGCAAGGGGCTAGCTTCATCATATAATCTAAAAATATGTCACTTGTTCTGATTGTTATTACGTGTTAATGTTATATTATTTTGAAACTTTCATTCCTCCAGGGCATTTTTTTTTTTTTACCTTGGACACTGACTGAAGTTCAAAAGTTCAACAGAAACTTAGCTTTTCTATGGCAGAAGACATGTGTGTGTCTGGGGGGGGGTACATACATGTCATGTGTGTGCATGGGGGTACACAGGCAAGCCCTGTGGGGGGGCACACATGCGTTAAGAGATCATGCAGGGAATGCACATCCATGTCATATGGAAGAGTGCACACATATCATTGGTCAAGTCATATGAGGTGATATACATGCATGGCATGTGGGGTGGTGTACATGCATGTTGTGTGTGTAGGGGGTATATATAGATCATGGGTCCTCCTCAATGCTCTCTCTGCTGTATGTTTTGAGAAAGGGTCTCCTAGTAGGTAGATCAGCTGGTCATCAATCCAAAGTTATTCTCACTGAGTTCTGGGAATACAGGCCGAGTCTTTTGTGTGGGTGTTGGGGATCTGAACTGAGGTTTTCACACTTACAGAGCAAGGACTTCACAAACTTAGCCCTTATTCAAGTCTTTTCTGGCAAACACTGTCACTTCAGCCTTTATATCAGCTACTTTCTTCATTTCTTTTCATATCCTTGGTGAAATTGTTGCTTGTCTGTGTTCCTCTTTTGATCTTACCTTACGGTTTCTGGCTACTGTGCAGAATGCAACATAACTACAGAGATGTAACTCACCACTCACCTGAACAGGAAAATCTAGCCCCCAAACTGGAAGACTGATGGTACTGAAGTGAAACTTCTTAATCACTCAGCTCTGAAACAAGTCAGAGTAAAATATTCCATCCTCTATGCATAGTTACTGAAGAAAATTTACAAATACTTCCGAGTATCCCAGTTTGGTTAACTTGGAATGCCTCACCACGATGAGATAACTGTGTTTCAAAAAACTGTCCCTCCAATGATACTTCACTCCTTTTTCTAGGTTCAGGACTAGGCTTCTGCACCTTGGCAAGGCTGACCAATGACATGCTCGTTGAACTGTTTGCATCTTTTCTTGTACATTTCCATATTTAGAAAATACCTGATAGTAACATATGATAGAACCCATGGGTGGCTTTACAAAGCAACAGATAGCCAGAAGGGTAACCTCATGGTCTAAGTAAGTCATTGCTTTTGCCCTAGTAAATATCTGGTCTTCAGAAATAAGAATTTTTATTATTGAAAAAGTGAAGCATAATGGACCATAAGCAGTGTAACATTGCTGACTACTGAAATCTCACAAATACACAAATTTCTGCATTCTGACCCTAGCAGATGCTGTACTTTTTCTAGCTGTAAATAAGAAGTTGCCTGAATTGTACTTTTTCAGAGACTAAAGACAAAAATATAAGAATAGCACATTAATAAAAATATAAAGAAAGGATATAAGTTTTCAGTTTTGTTTACTTATTCATAAATTTGTTTAGTATTCATATTTGTTTAGTATTCATAAAAAAGAATGAAGATGGAAAAAGAAAGGAAAGAAGGAAGGAGGGACAGAGGGAGGAAGAGACCCACTAATTTTCTTTATAAATTTAAATATTAATGAAGAAAATGTGGCATAGTTTTCACTGCAAGGGAAAACAATCAGTTCTGATATGTTGGGCACCACAGACTCACAGCAGTGTAGAAGGCACTGCTGGGACAAGAAACATATGCAATGGCTTTGTTTAGGTTTAAATAGTTTTGTGAGACTAGAATACTGTAAATTCCATGATATCATTCTATTGATGTCTTTGCTATGTATCAGTGGCCAGAGACACAGTTTATTGCAGCTCCCTTCAGGCTGAGGGTTGTGGTTCATACTGTAGCAATGTGTATTAATATGAAAATGCTAAACGAGTCCAGAAAAACTTTGAACGAAGATGGCATTTACCAAACATTACCTATGCATGTTTTCTCATCTGCATCAAGCTGATGTCCATGGTTACAGGAACAATGGGGTCCACCAATTGCAGGTTCACAGTGATGAGAACAACCACCATTGTTCTCTTCACAGATATTTACAATTTCTAATTCAATTCCTTTCCAAAACAAGCAAAAGAGGTTTATTAGCATAACAATAGAGAAAATGGAATATATGTTAACAATGGACATGCTTTCTCTTTTGAGAGGATGACATGCTCTTTTGGGAATATATCACATTTTACACATAAAAAGTAAAATTCTAAGGCATATCTTGAATACTATTTATGCCCATACTGTACTGAACTACTAAGTGATAAGAAGTACTGATAAATTAGGTTAAATAGGAACATAAGAAAAACAACGATGGGTCAATCAGTGGCTACTAATACTTTAAAAGGCACTTCCTTTAGAGTTTTGATTGTGTGTGTGTGTGTGTGTGTGTGTGTGTGTGTGTGTGTGTGTTTAAAACTAATGATTGTTCTTTTCAGTGCCTGTAGGTTCATCAAACTATCAAACTACTATTAAAAGTAACTTGGGGTTAAAGAAAAATTAAACCAATGCACTGGCTGATCAAACGAAAGTTGCATTACGCGAGAGTGCTTTGATGCATCTAAAACTCACTTATCACATTAGCATACTATTATTTTGGAAACATGTCACCATCCCTGGCATATGCTAGTAATTTGGGCATATTGGTGAGCATCAGGCTTAGCATATGAATGTTGACTGGCCTGAACATGGAGCCTCTGATTTTCTAAATGAAGACACACGAAGTAATAGAAGGCTTGACTCAGGGATTAAAGTATAAAATTTCAATGTTCTGGCCTCTGTTTACTTTATCATTTCCATTACTCTTTGTATGGGCAGCCACTCTGTTCTCATTGACTGTACACGTATTGGCTTGTTTCCTTATCCTTTGGAAGAAGAGTATGAAAAAGATCAGGGCAAATGTACCTGAGATTGTGACACTTCTGGTGAGCATGTTTCATCCTTGACACTGTGGAGAACCTGTTGTCTCAAGACTGTGCCTCCTGTGGCGGCACACAGCCACCTGTATTCCCCCAACCAGCACTGCGGTCCCTGTCACTTTGACCCCACTGTGCCTTCTTCATTTTGCCTTAGCAGCTGTCAGCAACTATTCAAAAACATATTCCCAAAGACTGGTAAAATAAAGGGATATTACGCTAATCAACTTACTGTTGAAAGAGGGACTCTCTCTGGGCTGAAGACTGGGAAAACCAGAATGCATAAAGGACTGAAGGGCAAAGTGGTTTTTAGGCTTATGCCAACATAGAACCCTGGACACAGACCTCTGAGCTGCTTCTCAGGTTTGCCACTGTCAGCCATGGAATGAGGTATTTAAACCATGGTTGGTATCTTCTAATCCATCAGGACAGTCCCCACTGGTTTCCAGGAAAACTTAAGTAGATTCCTGTGGAATCACCCTTTAGTAATATGTAGAACTCTGCTGCTATCAGTAGCCAGGTCTCCCGTGACACTGTGATTCTACCCACACAGATTTATTGCATTTAGGTGAAATTCAGACAAACACTTATCTAAAATTTTTAATGCTAAAGTTCCAGTTCAATGAAATTATTATGTGTTCAAGACCCAGCTATACCATTCCTAGGCATATACTCAAAGAATGCTCCATCATACCACAAGGACACTTGTTCAACTATGTACATAGCAGTTTTATTTGTAATAGTCAAAACCTGGAAACAACCTGGATATCCTTCAACCAAGGAATGGTTAAAGAAAATGTGGTACATTTACATGATGGAGTATTAGTCATCTGTTAAAAACAATGACATCAGAAAACTTGAAGGCAAATGGGTGGAACTAGAAAAACTCATCCTGAGTGAGGTAACTCAGATTGAGAAAGACAAACTTGGTATGTACTCACTCATAAATGGATATTAGCTGTAAAATAATTGATAACTATGCTACTACAATCTACAGACTGAGAGAGGCTAGGTAACAAGGAAGTAAGTTAATAAGAGGACACCCAGATCTCCCTGGGAAGGAGAACTTGAAGAGATTTCATGAGTGGACTGAGGACAGGTGGGGATGGGAAGATGAGCAGTTTGAGGGGTGGAGGGAGAGAGTACTGAAAGATGGTACTCTTAAAAGGGGGACATTTTGGGGTCAGGGAAAACCCTGGTGCAAGGGAATCTCCCAGGAATCTACAAGAATGAGCTCAGCTAAGACTCCTAGCAGTAATGGATAAGTAGCTTGAACTAGCCATCTCCTGCGACCAGATTGGTGGCCAGCTCAACTGTCATCGGAGAGATTTTATTTAGCAACTGTTGGAGACGGATGCAGACCCAAAGCCAAACATTAGGTGGAGTTCAGGGAATCTTGCAGAAGAGAAGGAGAAAGAATTGTAGGAGCCTGAGGGGTCAAGGACATCACAAGAAAACTCACAGAATCAATTAGCCTGGGCTCACAGGGACTCACAGAGACTGAACCAAGAACCAGGGAGCCTGCATGGGACAGCCACTTTCTTCTCCAGCAACTGTCATGTTGGTCCCTGGTCCCTGTTCCTTCCACCTGCTCTTTAGGTTGTCCTTATCTCTCCTGGATATTTGATATTGTTCTATTTTGACTCTGGTCCCCAGTCTAAGTTTTCCTTTTATTTCTCCAGCTGCCCTCTCTTTCCCTAGGAACTCATTATTGTTCACAGCTTACACATCACTTCCCCAACCTTGACCTTTACTAATATATAGATTATTGATTTTTTTTCTATTTGGAAAATAGGTAGGAACTTCTGACTTGCATTTCCACATGGGTCTCCAAACTTCACACAACAAAGACGTAACTGGTGACTTTTGAATTCATTCCCTAACTCTCTGTAATTTTCCCTTAGATTCCATACTTTGATAAAATTCATTAGTGCTCTCTTGATTAGTGAGGCTTGAGACCATGAACTACTCTTGATCTTCTTTTCCTTACATACTGAGCAAAACTTGGATAGTATACCAAACCTGTCATTGCCATCTCCAGTGTACTCCCTGACATCAACACACCATCATGGCTTATCTGAGGACTCTAACTTTGCTTTCACATATACTCACTATGTGTTACCTATAGAACTGCCACTCTCTCTCTCTCTCTGTGTGTGTGTGTGTGTGTGTGTGTGTGTGTGTGTGTGTGTGTGTGTGTATCTGTCTGTCTGTGTACAGGTGTGCATGTGTAGGCATGTGTAAAGGCCAGAGGTTGACCTTGGATGTTGTTTTTAGTTGTCCTCTGTATCATGTGCTGAAACAGGCTCTCTCATTCAATCTCAAGCCACCAATTTTACAAGACACATGGGCCAGTGAGGCCCAGGGAGCTTCCTGTCTCTGTCCAGCACTGGAATTACAGATGTGCACAACCACATCAGGCTTTTTACTTGGTTTCTGGATATTTAAACTTTTTCCTTGGTTTCTGGGTCTGTGTGTTTTCATGGCAAGCACTTTACTCCCTGAGCCACTCTGCAGCCATGCCATGATTTTAAAATAAAAAGGACACTACACAGGTCTTTCCAAGATTGTGTCCCTTCACATTGCATCTGAGGGGTCTGAGGGCTGCCTGACATGACTCTTTGCTCTCTTTGTCTCAGAATTTCATTCTATACCTACTTGTTCACTCTTTCTAGTCCAGACTGGCTTCTTAGCTGATCCCCTAACCAGGCACCTCAGTTTCCCCTAGAGCCCTACCTCTTACTATTGTGCTTTCCTTCATCTTGATCTTCTCCGCAGTATAAAATTTCAGTTTCCTTTCCCTTAGCTAGACAGTTTTAGGTTTTAATTTTTCCTCCAGATTTAGGGTGTGTGTGTGTGTGTGTGTGTGTGTGTGTGTGTGTGTGTGTGTGTGAGTGTGTGTGTGTGTTATGAAGAGAGACAGATAGCTATTGATCTATAGATATGAGATCCATTTCTCAACATTAGACTCATTTGCAGTTCCTACCTTTCTTTGACATGCAGCCTGAAGGTAATATTATACAATGGTTTTAGTGCACATTCATAGTTTTTATTACAATCTATCATGTAAGAACATGTGTGTATCCTCCACTTTGGTGCTATGTCAGTGTTTCAATTATGTTAGAGTTTGGAGCATTTCAGAGTTTACAATTTTTCAGTTACCAACAGGTAGCCTGCATCATCACTGTGGGACATGACCCTCAGATGTCTTTGATGACTCTTTTGTTTTTATCTCTTCTGTATGAATTTGTGACCATCTACATCTTCAGTTCCAGGGGCCCAACTCTTTCCTCTACTTCCTTGAGTACTGAATACACACATGGTATTCATACAGATGTTCAGCTAAACACTCATACAGCAAAGTAAACAAATCTGAAAAGTTAAATGAATCAGTGGCTCTAGACATAGGCAAAGCTCTGGTTCATTCTGGAACCCCTTCAGAGACAAGTAAATACTGGCCTCTATTCCTGAATGTGAGCTCCAATTCACCAGTGGCCTTACAAACCTCACTTCCTTCTCTGCCACCAGCTTTATATGTTCATCACTGCCAGTCTCCTGTGGGCAGTAACAGTTTGGATTCCCATTTTTAGGTCATTGGAAGATATAAGAAATTCTTTAACACTCTTCAACTTGTAAGGGAAATCACAAGGAAGAATTAATTCATTTGATGAGTTCTGCGTAATTTTCCCATTATTGCTAGGTACCTGTGGTGCCACAGGAATATGGCTCTGTGTCTGCTGGAATGTTCTAAAGTCATATATATATATATATATATATATATATATATATATATATAATTTTATAGGATGAAAATGTTTTGAGCTGTGTAATGGTGCACTCTTATAATAGAAGCACTGGGGAGGCAGAACCAAGAGGACTGACAAGCTGGGATACACAGCAAGTTTGAGGCTAGCCTTGGCTATAATGTTGGCTATAATGTCTCAGTAAAATAAGACAAACAACCTCAGATCTACAATTGGCCACTAGAAGTCAGCTGATGTTTTGGGTTCTTGACATGGATGATTTACAATGAGTTACTTTCATAGTATATAAAAATCACACAGGTGCCACAGATATGACTCAGTGGTAAAGGGGTGTCAGCCAGGCATAACCACCTGAGTTTTTTCTTAAGGGCCACATATCAGAAGGAAAAATCAGACTCCTGAAAGTCATACTCAGATCTCTACACAATTGTTGTGTCTGGTGTGCTCACGTGCCCACACACACACACACACACACACACACACACACACACACACACACACACACACTCACACATACACAGCACACATGTACACACATTCACATAACATAATTATACTTAAACAGACTCTGTTTCTTCTCAGGGTGACAAATTCATCATTTGTTTAATAGATACAATACATAAAGTATACATGTATCTAATAACACGATGTTGAGAATTCTTTTGATGAAAGTTTCATCTAATGGTGAAATGTGTGGAACTTTCCAATTGGAAACACAAGACAGTGAGGATGAATTCACAGCACGCTGTGAGGACTGGGTGGTTATATTATGCAATATTACAAAAATTTCTCTAAAGAAATTAAATAGCCATAAAGCCTTTTCTTGGACAAAGGTGAAACAAGTGTCCTACAATTCACTCATTACATACAGGTGCTATATTTATGATTAAATATCATCACGTTCTAAAAGGACTTCCTCTGCCTATGGGTTTGGAGACACCTTAGAACATAAATTTTCACTGAGAAAGCTTTGTGTGTCAGTAGTAAATATTGAGGTCTGGGGATGACTTTAGAGAGAACTTAGTTAAATATTCCCATCAGGAAAGTAAATGTGAAGTCGCACGTCCACCTAATACAGTCAACTCTAAGGCAAATTGCTTTCCTGAGTAAATTCTAAAGAAAGTCATAAACCACTATTAATAATGTTCTCTTGCTTCATGATGCCTCAGAATTTGCTGGTCAGTTTATAAGACTCATTTGCACATTTTAAAATATGCTTAGCCCCTAAAACTCTAGCTATATTTAAAAATCAAATATTAATTTAAAAAATCTATCGACATTTTCTCCTCCTGAAAGGGGATTCCTGTATGCATTCATAAAGGGCTCAAACTCAGAAGTTGTTTCTTAATTAGGAGTCAGTTTCCCTCCCATCTTAGTTACTTTGATCTTTAAAAGGCAAGCATCACTGTGAAGAAGCTGCACTATAAATGCTGTAGGAATGCATTGGTAGACTTGAACAATACACCAACAATCAAGAAACAGAATTCTATGTGGAGGAGAGTGAATTTCCTGACTTTTAATGGTGTCTTCCTGGAGAAGCCCAGGAAGAATGTGAACATGTTCACTTTTCTATTATTCTTTGTGTGTTCTTTGTCTCACACGAATAAAAATAATGCAGTACATGGAAATAGCCAGTGAGGGTGAAGGGCTTATTTACGCAGAATTGAAAGTCCGTCCAAGTCCCAGCCCTAAGACTTAGTGATGTTTGTTATGAGTATTTTGACATTAGCAGTGAGTGTGAAGGAGTGCAAAGAGCATCTCTGAGAAAAAGATTCCACCCAGAATGCAGTTGCTGTCACTCATGTAAATAAGGCCATTGAGCACAAAATTATAGGATGCCATTAGAAGTAGAGGTATTGGAAGCACAAATTTGATACTGAGACAGAGCAAAGATGGAGACATGGAACTAATTAGGTCAAGGTAGGAGAAAAGAAGGGAAAAGAGCATTTCAGAAACAATGAAAGTAATTGTCATAGTTTGATTTTTATTGCTGTGATAAACATCACAGCCAAAAACAATCCAGGAAAGACAGCTTGTTTTGGCTTACATATCCCAATTAACCACAGTCCATCATGGAGTAAAGCTAACGCAGGAATTCAAGCAGGGAAGGAACCTGGAGGCAGGAACTGAAGCAGAGGCCATGGAAAAACACTGCTCACTGGCTTACCCTCCATGGCTAGCTCAGCCTGCTTCAAGATCTGTGGCTGGACCCTTCTACATCAACCATTAATCAAGAAAATGCCCCCAGCTTTGCCTACAGGCTAATCAGATAAAGTCCCTTTCTCAGTTGAAGTTCCCTCTCCCCAGATTCCATTGTGTCAAACTGATCAAAGTATCCAACACAGTAACCAATTGATGAATTTTATCTGGAAACATGGAAGAAGAGAATTGAAAGAGTCCATGGACACAAAGATGGAGACCTGTTAGCACTGGTTGATGAGAAAATATGAGGTGAGAGAGAGGGACTGTCTATTTTTGCTAACAAAACTTTTGTTATGAACATTCTAGTGGATGTGAGCTCCCCCCGCCCAGCACTTCTAACATAGTAAATGTTGGTAATGTTAATTTAGAAGACAGTAATGATGATGATTCAGACAAGAAGGGGATTATTATGAGAGCCACCTCGTGATTGATATATCTTAAGAGATAACAACACCCAAACACAGAAAAAGAAATGGCTTTGGCAGCAATAGGACAAAACTCTTTTGTACTGATAGGGGTTAGCATTTCTCCTTTTAATTCTATGGAAGATTTTGAAGAACATGTTAGCTGGCATGGTAGTTCATATCTAGTGTTTTTGATGCTGTAAAAATCAAGAAAGATAATAAAATTGGGGAGAGATGATGAACAAATTTGGAAGAGAAAGTTAAATTTGCTGCTGTTTGGAAAAGGAAGATGGAGATTGAAGTGGGGAGGGTAGAGGTGGGTTGGAATCAGACAACTCAGAGCTTAGGAAAGTAGACAGTGTGCTTGTTCATAGGAAAGGGATTGGATAAGGAGTGTCTAAAATAGCAACTATAACTGAAGACTCCACAGCCTAGCATTGTAAATTCATCCATAATGATGGATGTATTAAGCCAGGTAATTGAGCTGGGGAATTAGGTACAGCTGGGAGACACAGTGCTTGGCTGGGAAGTGAGAGGAGCAGGTTCAGTGGTGAGCATGTAAAATAGGATGAACCATTTGAAGAGGTGTGATGAATGTCAAGGAAAAAAGACGTTAGTACAGAAGGCAGACATTGTGTTGGGCATGTATCTACAGCCTTCATCTGTCCTTTCCTCTTAAGTTTTGTTCACTCACGCTATTTCCTTTTCTTTGGGCATTACGGTGGACTCTTTAGTGTTCAGCCAAGGTGATACAAGAAGACAGAACTTCACAAAGTACCTGAGGCATGAATCCAAGATTTTCAATCAGAAGACCTGAAAGTTCATCCTCACTGACTAGTAGCCTGTGAACCATTATGCAGACTTTTTTTTCTTCTTTCCTCAACAATAGAATGAAGCAGGTTACACTTGTCAGTCCCCATGCTCACTATGTTCCACCAGGCAACATGCTCGCAAACTTGTTCTTAGCCAAGATATTCAGTGTTGTTCTTTCAGTTATTATTCTTGCTTGATCCTTAATACCCTCATTGACTTCCAAGGCTGCCATGGTTTCTACTTACTGTAACAATGTTTTCCATCAGCTCCTAGCTCAAAGCCAGGGTGGCAGGCACAAGTAAAGGACCCCTCTGAATTCACACAGCGATGAGCGCAGGGGACAAGCTCTTCAGCACACTCATTTATGTCTGTAGGGATAGATGTACAGCACCTGTCTTATCATTTCCAATTAAAACTTATTCGTAAATAATAAAAGTGAATAAACTGCCACCTTCCACTTAACATCTGGTTTTCAACAGAATAGTAAATATCACAGACTCCATCCACTTAGTGAGAAGGGATTTGTGCGAAAGTCAGCTCCTATGGCTATGCATTCTGTGTTGGTTTGGTTCTCACTAGTGTTTCCTCAGGTCTACTAGAACCAACTGCTGCTAATTGAGAAAAAAAAATTGAAGGCAACTACAAATAATGGTTCTAATCTATTCCTCAAAAGCACAAACAGAAGCCATTGTAGTCTGATGTTATGAATATATTTTTGAAGATATCCCCATTCTCTGGCTTTTTGTTTACTTTTGATAATACATGTTAATTACAATATTTCTCCCCACTCTCCCCTCCCTTCAAAACCTCCCATATATCTTTCCACACTCTTCTTCAAATTCATGGCCTCTTTCTTCATCAATTTTTATTGTATGCATACATGAATTTGTATATACACGTATATCCCCAAATAGGACCTGTTGCAACTCCCTATTTTAAAGCAGAAAATGCAGCAATGGGCAACTCAGATGTGAGGCCTTTCTCATAGCAACCCACACTTGGTCAATATACATATTCATCACTGTTATGACTATGATCAGACATGCCATATGATGCTGGTATCCTTTATCTCTCCTGCAAGTGATGGTCCCTTTGATTCAGTGTGACTTCGGTTTTGTGGCCCAGGCAACCTCTTCCTTTTAGCTGAAGAGGTTCTGTCATACCTTTTCTGACTGGTACATCTTTTCCCTTCACATCTGCCTGCCATTCTCCATTCTCATTTACTAGTAGAGCACTCAAATATGCAGTAGTGTTGGGAGGAGATTTCTAGGATTAATGTATCAGACATTAAAATAGAACTTGAAAAGTGAAATTTATCTGTTTTTCTATTTATCCTGCTAGTCAGTTTTCAAAAAAAAAATAATACTTACGATTCCCTACTTCCCTTTTGTCAGTTACCAAGCTAGGCTTGTGGTAAGAAATGAGAAACAGAGATTCAGGCAATGGCTCAGCAGTTAAGAGTACCGTCTGCTCTTCTAGATGAACCAGGTTCAATTCCCATCTCCCATATGCAGCTCACATCCTCTATAACTCAAGTTCTAGGGAATATGATGCCCTTTACTGACTTTTTTGTTATTTCATGCACATAGTACACAAACATACATGAAGGCAAAACACACACACACACACACACACACACACACATATATATATATATATATATATATATATATTACTAAAGCAACAATTAAAAAGGAATGGAAGCCAATGTAGTATATCTTTGCCAGAATAATATGCTTAAAATCCATAAAAACTTTTTTCTTTTTATTTCGCCTTATTTATTTTGTATGAATGTGTGCACATGTGCATGCAGGGCTTGTGTCAAAGTACACAAGTGGTGGTCAGAGGGCCATTAGTGGCAGTTGGTTCTATTCTACTACATGAGTCCTAATTTGAACACAGGTTGTCTGGCTTGGCATCAAGTGCCCATACCAACTAAGCCATTTCACCAGCCCCCATTACCCCTCAAATTTCCACACTGATTTTTGTGTCTAGTTTGTATTCAATTTCTCAAAATGTTTATCGGTCCTGTAAGTCAAGGAACATTGTGTTGTTTTCATAATTAATCCAAATAAACTGTTTCTCATTTCAGGAAAATGTCGTTATAAAAATGAAGGATTCTGTGGTTTCTCAGAAGTTATTAAAAACAAAGACTATCCCGCAGGAATTCCTTCATCCTCCATTGGTGCCAGTCATGAAATAATTTGGCCCTTTCATCTTTGAACTGAAGTGTGTCTGCTTTGCTATTTTGGGAAACAGAAATGTGTAACCTTGTGTTTACAGGGTTTCTTTCTCTTCTCATTTTAATTATTCCTAAGTTCTGAGGGCCTCATTTGCACATACTTGCTTTTCAAAGGTTACCTCCACCTCTGTAGTCTATAATCAAAACCTCCCTGTGTGGTTACTGAGGGTTTTGAAATATTAATTCTGGATTTCACTTTTTTAAAAAAAAAGAAACAAAAAACAAAAAGCATTACTTCTGAAAGCACACTAGGTCATTTTTTACAATAAGTAAGAATTTCACTGAGTTTTTTTTTTTTGTAGCATTCTAAAATACTTTTCATAGTGATCAATTCAAAAATTAAAGTGTTTCTTTTTAGCATAAATAAAAACACCTTTCTCCTACCTCTTCCAACTGTTCAATCTGACTAGAACAGAATTTCAAACAATTACCCAATTAAGACATCAGTTTCAGCTTCCTACCTTCGCAGGCCTTTTTGTCTTCAGACAGCTGGTACCCAGCATGGCAGGTACACCTGGCCACGCCATTCTCGCTTTGACATAGGTGAGCACATCCATTTCCACCTGCACAGGGGTCTGTCTCTGAAAACAATGAAGCAGTGAGAGTTTGCAATTCATTCAGGTTAGAAAGATGTGCAGAGTGGACAGCTGGACAAAGAAAGTCATGGAGATGTTAGAGTCATTCATTTCCCATTTAAAGATGGTTAAAGATTCCAGAACTGTCTTTCACACTTTACTATGGAACTCATTCAACAAACACATTTCTGCTTTGTTATCTGAGCCCTAGTTCTGGACAAAATAAATAGATCAAGGTCAAAAAAGACTAAATTTTCCTGTTTCCAAGTTTTTATCTCCCAACCTCTGATATTCAAGGGAACTAACAACAGTTCCTTTGGATGGCTCTGTTCTGTTTCTCTACATGGTTTTATACCTGTCAATAGCCAGATTTTCCTTAGATCAACTCTTTCCCTAGATTCTGCTTGACACTGGGTGACCAGTCATGACATCAGGAAAGGCAGATGGAGAAACAAAGGGACGATTCCCAGCTCCAGCCAGTGGGGATGGGAATTTAATCTTTCCTTCTTTTTGAGGACTGGATCTTTGTATGTAACCCAGGGTGGCTGGAACCCAACCTGACCCCCAGCTATGACTTCAGAGTGCCACAGGTACAGCCATGTACCACCACACTTGCTCGTAATTAACTTTGAAATTCCTAAATGTCCTTGATTGTCTAAAACCAATTATTGGTCCCAGACTATAATTACTGTTATCAACAGTTGCATAATGACTATTCTTGGTTGCCTACTTGACTACCTCCAGAATTGACAAAAAGCCAAGCATAGGGGCACACCTGTGAGGTACTTTTATTTAATTAAATCATTGTTGGAGGGCAGAAGAACCGCCCCCTCCCCCCCTGCCATGCTTAAATCTAGATTGTTTGAGGTGGGAAGACCCACTCTGAATCTGGGCCATCCCTGTTTTTGCAAGAGCCTATGTAAGTGACACTGAATGAAGAAGCTTTTGCTTTTTGCCTGCTTTTCTTTGTTCTTGCTTGCAAGTTTATCTATCCTGCTGCAGAGGCATACCTTCACCGGCATTAGAGCCTACTTTTTCAGACTTTCAGTATATACTGAAGACACGCTAAAACATCCAGCCTTAGGGGATGAACACTGCTGGATTTTTGAACTTTCTGTTGGAAGACAACCTTTGTTGAACTATCTGGGCTACCGCTTGTAAGCCACTCAAATAAATCCCACATGCATGAAGGCATACATACATACATACAAAAATACCTACCTAAATACGTATACATACATCCTGTCAGTTCTGTTCCTCTAGAGAACCCTGAGTAATACAGCTTGCGAGCAGAGAGCTTTTTTTGAAAAACATTGTAAGAGATACTTCAAAGGGGATGGAAACATTCATATATTTACTAAGGTTATAGCTATATAGTTTAATCCTTTAAGTTTAGAAATTTACATTTCTGCATTTTATTTAACACAGGTGTACCACTAAGCAGTTGAATTTTAAAAGTTACAATTAAAATAAGGACCATTTTTGTGTGTGTATGATTCATATTCAAGACATATTCTTTATGACCTAATGGGCACTTGTGCCCTCTTTAGAGCAAGAACCATGTCTTGCTGATTCTTCTATTCAAATTTATTTGCTTAGTTAAACAAGTGTGAATGTTTTCAAGGGCAGCATAACTGACCCTCTTTCCACTTTTCTTGAAAGGAAAACAGTGGCCACAGCAGCCAGCCTTATCTCCCACTCTCCTTCCCTGGATAGTTACTGTCCTGGCAATGAGACCAAGATGCATTCATTTCTCTAGATGTTTCCTAGCTACTGTCTCTTCCATGGAACCGTTCCCATTGTTCTCAATTGCTACTTTCATTCTTACTAAAATCTGCTTTTCTCAAATTGGATCCTTTACAATAACTATAAGGGATAATTGTAAACGTTTCATGATAAAAGATTCAAACATATAAACAAGCCTCTGGCTATACAAAAAAATTGTTTTATAGACTATCTCAGTGCTTTTTACTGTGAAATGCATTGTGTTCATCCCAGAATGGTAGGGTATTTGAGTATCCTATGCATATTTGACCCCAAAGAAGTTACTGGAATATAATAAGTAAATGAATCTTTTTTAATTAGAATGGCTCATATGTTTAAATAGTTGGCCCACAGCTGGTGGAACTATTTCAGAAGGATTGTCCAGTGTGACCACATTGGAGAAGGTGTATCATTTGTGTGTGTTTTGTGCTTTCAAAAAGACACCCATTCCCTAGGGTGTCATCAGAGTCTATCATATCCTTTGGGATAGGGCCTAGACCCACCCCCATGTGTCTTGGCTCAGGGAGTATTCCTCTATGTGAAATGGGCTCCCAAAGTCCACATCTATGCTAGGATTAAGTACTGAACTACTACAGGAGGTCCCATAGATTTTCGAGGTTTGGGAGGTGGTGGTGGTGGTAGGGTAGGACCGGAGGGAGAAGGGAACTGGGATTGTCATGTAAAACAATCCTGTTTCTAATTCAAATAAAAAAAATCTGGAAAAAAGAAAATATTGACCCAAAATGTTTATATTTTATTATTTAAAATTAAAAGCACTCAAAACAAAACAAAACAAAAAAACAAAAAGCCATCATTCCCAGTTTCCTTCTCTCTTCTGCCCCCCCTTCTCTCTTATTTTTTTCTGCCTTCTACTTGTAGATGAAGATGCAAACTCTCAGCTTGTTCTTCTGTCATTCTTTGTTCCATCATCATAAAACCTAACAATCTGAAACTGCCAGCCTGATTAAGCACTTTCCTTTCTAAGTTGCCTTATTTATGGTGGGTTTTTTTTCACAGTAATCAATAAGTAACTAAGACTGAAGTTGGCACTGGGTTGTGGGATACTGCTGTGACATGTCTGGCCATGCTGTTCTTTTGAGAAATGTGGAAGACTTTGAAGTTTGGACTAGAAAAGTGGTTGAATGCTGGAAACAGGGCTTATGGGCCATTCTAGTAAGAGCTTGGAAGACAGTTGTGTTGAAAGTTATATGGGATGTGAAGGTCCAGCTCAAGACGTTTCAGAGGGAAATGATATTAGGAACTGGGTTAGAGAACATTCTTGTGATATTTTGGCAAAAACTGTGGCTGCTTTCTGCCTCTGTCCTAAAATTTTACATGAGGCTAAATTGAAGAGTAATGAAATTTTCCCTTTCAAGACTGGGGATATTAGGTTTCTATATTACTCCTTAAATGCCCCTTAATGTAAGCTGTCTCTCTGCATATTTCTTCCTACAACCCAATTCTCCTCCTGACTTGATTCTCCCATTCCAGCTAATTATCTATTCCATTTCCCTTTCCTAATAGGATCTATCTGTTCCCTCTAGTCCCTTACTCTTGGTTATCATTTACTTAATGGCTAATATCCTCATATAAGTAATAAATACCATATTTGTTTTTCTGGCTCTGGGATACCACACTCAGAATGATTTTTTTCTAGTTACATCCATTTACCTGCAAATTCCATGCTGTATTTTTCCTATCTAAGTAATACTCCATTGTATTTATACCTCATTTTCTTTGCCTGTTATTCTTATGAGGGACATTCAGTTTTTTTTCCCAACTTCAGACTACTATGAATAGAACAGCAGTAAACATGTTTGAGCAAGTGTCTCTGTGGTAGGATGAAGCATCTTTTGGGTATATTCCTAGGAGTGGTAGAGAAAGATCTTGAGAAAGATTGATACCCATCTTTCTGAGGAACCACATCACTGATTTTCATAATAGCTGTATGAGTTTGCATTCCCACAAGCAATGGAGGAGTGCTCCCCTTACTCCACATCCTCACCAGCATGAGATGTCATTTGTTTTATTTATCTTAGCCATTCTGATAAGTTCATGATGAAATATCAAAGCATTTTTAATTTGCATTTCTCTAATGGGTAAAGATGTTGAACATTTCTTTAAGTATTTCTCAGCCATTTGGGTTTCTTGTATTGAGAATTCTCTGCTTAGATCTATACCCCATTTTTAAATTGAGTTATTTGAAACTTCCTAAAATATATACATATGTGAAATCAATCTAAATGATACTGCTAAATAATGAGGGAGACAGAAATCTCAGCTGGACATCTCTTGTCAACAAACAAAGCTTCCAGTACAGGGATTGAGTTATATCTAACTGAGTTGTTGGCCAAAGGGGTCCAATGGAAATCCCCAAACAACCTAGGCTGTTGCCAAGACTATAGGTTGTTTTCTACAAACTGACAGCAAGGCCCCACTGAGGAAGATAACTCCTACACAACTCATTGAAAATGGAGATGTAGAGCTGGTGCCTATATAAACCTTCATTCCTCATGTTCTATTGTCTTTGGTATTGGAAGGTACTCTGCATGCTACCAAGGGACAAACATAAACATCAAGCCAACTATAAAATCTTGAATCTACAATACTCTATTGACTCCAAGATTTTTCTAAGGCAATGGTGGCACAGAGCTTAGGGGAATAACCAACCAATATCTGATTTAGCATAAGGTCCACTCCATGAGATGGAACCCATACCCAACACTGCTGTGTGACCAAGAATCAGGGACTAGATTGCTCAGGAACCTAGGATTAAACCAAGTAATTCTGGTCTAAAAAAAAGGAAAAAAGAAAAAAAGAAAGAAAAGAAAACTTTTAGTGGTAAACTGACTTCTAATTATATTCTGCTGTATTCGTAGAACAGTGCTTTGACCAGTTCTCATGGACCCATGGGAACAGAGATGCACAGCCAGACATTATATAGAGAGTGGGAGACCTTGGAACACTCAGTCCCAAATAGGAGGTGTCCATCAAATCCCTCCCTTCAGATCTCAGGGAACCCAGTAGAAGAGTAAGAAAGAGCAGAAGAGCCAAAGGAATGGAGGACACCGAAAAAAAAAAAAAAGCCCTATAAATCAACATGATCAAGTATTTATAAACTCACAGAGATTCAAGCAGCATGCACAGGGACTGCTCCAGATCCTCTGTGTATATCTTATGGCTTCCAGTTTAGTGATATTATGGAATTCCTCAATGTGTGAATAAGCTGGTCTCTGATTTTG